CTTCCTTCCTTCCTTCCTTCCTTCCTTCCTTCCTTCCTTCCTTCTTTTCTTGATCTTTTTGATACAAGTCCCCCTGTAGCCCCAGCTGGCCTGGAACTCTTTATGTAGACCAAGCTGGCCTAGATCTCACAAAGATCCAGCTGCCTATTCCACTAGAGAACTGGCATTAAAGACATGCACCACCACACCTGGCTTTGTTTGTTTATTGCTGGAGTCTTGCTATGTAGCTCTGGAACTTGCCATCCTCCTGCCTCAGCTTCCAGAGTGCTGAGATTAGTGCTTTTTTGTCTTATTTTTTGAGTGGCAGGCTTGTCAGCTCATACAAAGTTGGCTTCGCTGCACCCCTCCCATCATGTACAGTTGGGGAAACCAGGACAGGGAACAGTATTCTGACTCCCAGCCTGGCCTGCCACCCTGTGAGGAACTCAGGAGAAGATGAGGACTCCAGTCTGTGGTAGCACCTTCCCTACTTAAACCCAGGCTGTTGCTCCTTTTTGCACTAAACTTTAGGTTTCAGTTTCCACTAAAAAAAAAAAAAAAAAAAAAATCTGTCAGGCATGGTGGCACAGGCTCCTAATCCCAGCACTCGGAGGCAGAGGCAGGCAGATCTCTGTGAGTTCAAGGCCAGCCTGGTCTACATAGTGAGTTCCAGGACAGCTGGGGCTACAGGGAGACCCTGCTTCAAAAAGACAAAAAAACTTTTTTAATAATAAAAATAATGGTGTTTAAAATAACAAAATGGGCATGGTGGCACACGCCTTTAATCCTAGCACTTGGGAGGCAGAGGCAGGCAGATCTCTGTGAGTTCAAGGCCAGCCTGGTCTACATAGTGAACTCCAGGCCAGCTGGGGCTACCGGGAGACCCTGTCTCAAAAAATACCCCAAACAAACAAACAAAAAACACAAATAAACAAACTAAAGATCTGGCCTCAAGGGCCACACAAGAGCACTACCATTTCAGGTGATTTTTGCAGGGCCCCAACCAACCCCTCTGGGCCCCAAGATGAAGCTAAGTCTCTAAAGCCAGGTGTGGTGATGCAATCTTCTCATTCCAGCCTGGGCAGACTGAGGCAGGAGGATGGCAAGTTTGAGGCCAGCCTGGGCTACAAAGCAAGAAGTGTTAAAATGAAGGGAGCTAGAGAGATGGTTTACTGCCCAGCACCACTCCAAGAAGTTCACAATTGCCTATAACTCCAGTTCCAGGGGATCTGAGCCCCTTTTCTGGCCTCTGTGATCACTTCACAAATGTGCACACACAGGAACACAGACACATACAGAATAAAATAAATGTTCAAAAAGAAGAGGGGCCAGGTGTGGCGGTACACACCTTTCTTTAAACAGCATTCAGAGGCAGAGACAGGCTGATCTCTGTGAGACTGAGACCAGCGTGGTGCACATAGTGCGTTCCAGTCTAGCTGGGGCTACAGGGAGACCGTTCAAAGAGTGAACAAACAAACCAAAACCAGGAACAAACCAGGAACTGGAGAGATGGCTCAGCAGTTCAGAGCTCTGGCTGCTCTTCAGAGGACCCAGATTTGGTTCCCAGAACCCACATAGCAGCTAACAACCTTCCTTAACTCCGGTTCCCAAGAATCCGATGCCCTCTTATTTTTTAAATATTTTATTTATTATTTTTATTTTATATGTATGCATGTATTGCCTGCATGTAGGTAAGTGCACCTGTCCACAGAGGACAGAAAAGGCCGTTGGATCCCCTGAAACTGGAGTTAAAGAAGGTTGTTAGCTGCCATGTGGGTGCTGGAATTCAAACCCAGGTCTTCTGCAAGAACAGTCAGTGTTCTTAATCAGTGTTCTTAACGGCTGAGCCATCTCTCCAGCCCCCTACCCAGCTTTGCTTTTAAATAGTGTTTTTGGAGGTCAGGTGTTTTTGCAGACAGCTGGTCTTCAAGGCTCATGACAGAGTGGCATTGCTGAGCCAGCCCACCCTTGCTGGGTCAGGACCCCTCTGTCCCCACAGGCCACTTCTGCTTTCTCCAAATTGTCATCTGTTTTGCATATTCCCTCCTTTCTCAGCAGCTCTGGGCTGGGGCCTGTCTTCCTTCCCCCTGGGCTTTCCCCACCAAGAAGCTTACACTCCAAATTTCCCCACTATCCTTTTTTCTCTTCTTTCCGTGTGTGTGTGTGTGTGTGTGTGTGTGTGTGTGTGTGTGTGTGTTTTGAGACAGGGTCTCCCTGTAGCCCCAGCTGTCCTGGAACTCACTACATAGACCAGGCTGGCCTCGAACTCACAAAGATCCGCCTGCCTCTGCCTCCCAAGTGCTGGGATTAAAGGCGTGCACCACCACACCCGGTGCCGTTTTTGTTTGTTTTTAAGACCATGTTTCACATAGCCTAAGCTGGACTCCAACTTGCTATTAGCCCAGGCTGGCCTTCAACTCCTGATCATCCTGCCTCTGCCCTCCCAGGGCTGAGGTGACAGGCATGGGTCATCTTTCTTTTTTTTTTTTTTGGTTTTTTTGAAACAGGGTCTCCCTGTAGCCCCAGCTGTCCTGGATCTCACTATGTAGATCAGGCTGGCCTTGAACTCACAGAGATCCGCCTGCCTCTGCTGGGATTAAAGGCGTGCACCACCACGCCTGGTGGTATGGGTCACCTTATCCAGTCTATAAGAGTGGGGCATCTTAGCCGTGTCAGAGGGAGATGGGGAGCTGTTCTCATAAAGTGGGGACAGAAATAGGTTCAGAGACAGCCTTGGGCTGCAGGAGCTAGGTGCTGACCGCTTCCTGGCCCCCACTTCACCCTGAGCCTCCCTCTTCTTGCCCATCCCTGGGAACTAAAAACTGGTTTTGCAGGTCAGGAAGTAGGGAGCATAGCCTACAGACAGGAACAGTTCAACACTTCTGTCCATGCCCCAGCGGGGGGAGCTCTGCTATCCTAATTTTGAACAGAGACATGCAGGTACTTGCCCAGCCTCACATAGCAGGAGAGAGCTGGCATTCTTTCAGTTGTTGAATTATTTTGAGACAGAGACTTAGTATGTAGCCCAGGTTGGCCTAAAACATTGGCAATCCTTCTGCCTCGGCCTCTCCATGCTAGGATGGTAGCGCTTCGAACTGGTCACTCACCTGGCTGCAGACCAGCTGTGTTCCTTGTCCGGTTCGCCCACAAAGACATTCTCATAGTCAGGTGTGGATCTGCCTGATGGAGTGTCCTGGGCCTTGGGGCCGGGGCTCTGGCTGCTGTACCTCAGTTGGAAGCCTGAAACCGGTCTGGGGGCATCCTGTGAACCCGCGGCTTTGCTGAGGCCCTGGCTGTTGGTCTGTGTGTGTCCCTTCAGTCTCCAGGCCAGCACGGATCCAGCGATAGCCAGGATCAGGAAAATGACCCCACCAGCCACCATAGCACCAATGGTCCCTGGGGCCAAGCCGGGGGGACAGCTGATTGCGAGGAAGGTGGAGAGATTCTGCTGGGACACAGAGGCTGGGTGCATACACAGAGGCTCCTGCTGGCCCGAGCAGTTGTCCCTGCGAACCTTGTGCCAGGAGGCCAGGGCACAGCTGCAGTCTGCCTTGAGTTCCAGGTCACAGCGCCAGGCCAGCCATTGGTCCACACTGTTCAGAGGGTTGTGGGTGACAATCAGCGTCTGCAGCTGCTGCAGGTTAACAAAGAAAGCTGGGGGGAACTGGTGCAGGCCATTGGCAGACAGGTCGAGGACTCGCAGGCTGCTGGCCTGCAGGGACTGGTTCCATGGCAGGCGCAGGCCCAGGCCACTGAAATTGAGGCAGGTATCATGGAACCACTGGCTCCAGTCCACGTTGTTTGAGAACACTGTGCAGGAGAGACCTTGACTCCCAGCTGTCCGCAGCAGGACCATCAGCAACAGGAGAGAGAAACAGGACAACCAGGCCCTGGTGCCCCTCTTTCCAGACACCTGTATGGGGACCAGGGAGTCAGATGGTGACTTCAGCCCTGTGAACATCTCCCCTCTTGGCCTGGGTTGATTTTTGTTTTGCTTTTTTTTTTTTTTTTTTTTGAGACGGTCTCCCTGCAGCCCTAGCTGGCCTAGAACTCACTATATAGACCAGACTGACAGAGATCCTTCTGCCTTACCACCTCCTGAATGCTAGGATTAAAGGTGTGTGCCACCATTCCTGGGTCTATTGTGGGTTTTTAAAAAGTTATTAATAGCCAGGTGTGGTAGCACACACCTTTAATCCCAGCACTCGGGAGGCAGAGGCAGGCAGATCTCTGTGAGTTCAAGGCCAGCCTGGTCTACATAGTGAGTTCCAGGACAGCTGGGGCTACAGGGAGACCCTGTCTCAAAAAGATGAAAAATTAAAAAATAAACAAATAAAAAGTTGTTAATAACTCAAACCAGTGCAGCTGCAGCCGACACAGTAACACACAGCCCCTGGCTGATTGCCATTCCCTGGTGTCTCTGGTCCCCAAGCATCAGTCTTCCATTCTGGAAAATGGATACATCCCTCCCACCTGACAGGTTAAGACCAGACCCCCTTCCCCAATCTGTCAATCTTCAGATAGTCTGCATAGCTCTCATTGGCCACATCGCTGCCATATGCAAATGAATGATTGTTTGGAAACTGCCTAATCTCCAGACTCTTCTTTTACTGATTATGAATTGCAGATCCCCAGTGCAGGGAGGCCTGGGATGGTGTGCTGCTGAGAGGAGCCTCCTCGCTTTAGGTTGCGGCCCATGCTCATAGCCAAGTTCAATTGCCTGGGTCTTACCTTTCGCAGATCGCTCTGCATCTTTGTAGTGTTCCAGGAGGCGGGGGGCTTAGGGGCTGGGCTGAAGTTTATCTGAGTTCCCCCAGTCCCAGCCACCAATCTGGCACTCTCCCGCCTCTGTGCCTGGAGCCTTCGGGGAAGAGGAACTGGGGTCTGGGTGGTGTGCAGAGGGGAAGAGAAAAGAGGAGGTTCGCCCTTTGCAAGCCTCCAGGCTCTCACGAGAGGAGGAGGGGCCACCCAGGGTCCCACTTCCCTCTCACTGGAAGCCAGTGACCTCATCATGTGTTCCTCACTGGCTGTACCCCATTAACCCAGTTCCTGACCTCAGTTCAGCAGTGCGAATATTCACCCAACATACAGCAATCTGAATGCCTCAGCTCTGGTCAATCCTCACCCTACACCTACACACAGTCCTGAAAAAAGATGGAGCTAGACAGCAACACCCCAGGCCTGTGGTCCTGCAGAGGCAGAACTAGACTAAAGAGAAGCGCAGGCGTCCAGAAGATGTCTAGAGGAGGGTTCTTGTGCTGGGGCTTCAACATATGGCTAGGAGTTTGCCAAGGATTCTCAAACCTGGTCTTGGTTCTCCAAGCCCCTAGCACAGGCTCAGAGCTGGAGCTTATAGGGGGAGAGAGGGGCTGCAGGTGGCCTCCTGGGGGACAGGACATCAGATACAAGGTTTAGGTGATGGGCAGAAAGAAATGGCCTCCAGGCCTCTGGGCAGAGCAGGAACAAAGGCCCTGTGACTGGAAAGGGGAAGCTAAAAATAGGAACTAGAGGTATGGGCAGGGGTGGCCTGTAGACTTCATATTCTGGCAAAGTTCAGCCTAGCTGCTGGCTGAGTCCTGAGGGCCAGGGTAAGCCAAGTGTGTGAGCAGAGAGTGGTCAAAGCTCAGTTCGGGTCCCAGAGAGACAGTGACAGTGATGACATTGGTGTGAAAATGTGACCCAGTGGGATGGACCAGGAAGAGGAAGTGGGTGTGGCTGGGACTGTGTCGGCTGTGTGAGGTCCTGGAGTCCTGCAGACAGGCTTCCATTACCCTGTCCACCGACTCCCTCAGACCTGGTGGTGAAATGACTGACAGGACTGTGGGGATCTAGGAAATCCCAACATCACAAGGGAACAGTGCAGGGCAGGACAAGGAGAAGTTGGCTTTATTTAGCACAGGCAGCTAAACAGCTCTGACCCTGTGAGACTCCTCCTGGGGGCTGGAGAGGAAGCTCAGCAGTTAAGGGAGCTTGGGGCTCAATCATGAGGTCAGGAGTTTGGATTCCGGTACCATCATGAGAAGCTGGTGTCCCACATGCACCTATAACCCCAGCTTCAAGGGGGTGGAGACAGCAGGATTGTTGGGGCTTGTTGGCTGCTAGCCTAGCTGACAAAAACATGAGCCCCAAGTTCAGGGGGAGACTCTACCTCAGAGGAATAGGCAGAGAGTTTGTGCACATGCACAGGCATGCACCTCCCCATGTGTGTACACACACATAAATAAAATCTTTTAAAAAATGACCCCTTTGGGGATCCGTGGTGTGTGTCCATTTGCAAAATAATAATGAATTTGTCCACATAGTGCAGTATTACTCAGCCAAGACTGGAGCTCTGATACCACAATGTGGATGAACCTGGAGCACAGCTGCCACACACAAAAGTCCTCCAGCAGTCTCTCCCGTCCCTACCCCCAGCCCCTAACAGCCCCTCATGGGCGCTGGGTTCCCTCTGGGGAACACAAAATGTTCTGAAACCGGACAGAGGTGATGGGTGCACAGCAAGGTGAACGTGCGAAAGGCCATTGGCTGCTTCTTCTTCTTCCTCCTCCTCCTCCTCCTCCTCCTCCTCCTCTTCCTCCTCCTCTTCCTATTCCTTCTCCACCTCTTCCTCCCTCTCATGCACGCCTTTAGTCTCAGCACTTGGGAGGCAGAGGCAGGAGGATCTCTGTGAGTTCCAGGCCAGCCTGGTCTACAAAGTGAGTTCCAGGTCAGCTGGGGCTACAGGGAGACCCTGTCTCAAAAAGACCAAAAAAAAACCCCTAATTTATTTACTGGGTGTGTCTGTGGGTATGCAGGTGCCTCAACTTACAAGGGAGGGCAGGGGACAGCTTGCAGGAGTTGGTCTCTCCTTCCATCATGTGGGTCCCAAGAATTGAACTCAGATCTTCTGGCTTGGCTGTAAGCACCCATTGAGCCATCCTGGGACTTTCCCCTAGTTTTAGTTTTTTGAGACAGGGTTTCTCTATGCTGGCAGGACTAGAACTTGCAGTGATTCTCCTGCCTCAACTCTCCCTTTAAACACAAGGCCAGTATCATCAGGATAGCAAAGATGGTGGCTGTGGAGGGGAACTGGGGTTTAGGGCCACAGAGCAGTGCGAAATGGGTTTGCACAGGGGCCAAGGACTTGGGGTGACCTATGGGAGGATGGAGGTAAATACAGTCCATCATTGCAAAATAATTTAATTCAGTGCTGGCCACGGCAGCTTTTGGTAGCTTAGCATTCAGGAAGCAAGGCAGGAGAATCAGGGATTCAGAGCTAGCTTGAGCTTCAAAGAGTGTGATGCCAGCTGAAGCTAAAGGAAACACTGTCTCACCACCCCACCACCCCTGTGGGAAAAATGCAATTTGGAGGTAAATTTTGAAATAATATGATTTTAAAACAAATTAGCTTGTGTATCTCAGGCTGGCCTGGAGCTGGCCATCCTCCTGCCTCTCCCTCCCCAGGGCTGGAATTAAGTGCAGTCTGAAGGTGAGTCAGGCCATGTAGCTTCCTCCCAGGAACTGCATTTCTTGGTGGGGGCTGATCTGGGGAACAGCACCGAATCACAGCTGGAGACCCTGGGCAACAGCTTGCTGGCCCCACCTCCATGCCGCCTTCTGCCTGACTCTTAACTCTACAGGCCTTTGCCAGAAAGTTCCAGGATAGCCTGGGCTACAAAGGGAGATTGGAATCCCCCAGTGGTGGGCTGGGGATATGACTCAGGAGTAGAGCCCCTGCCTAGGATCCCCCAATGAGGGACTGGTGTGTGGCTCAGGGGTAGAGCCCCTGCCTGTTGTCCTTCAGGCACATAGTGATATTATCTCCATCTCCATTTAACACATGGGGAAACTGAGGCACAGGCTACTTGAGTGGCTTGCTCAGGATTCTACAGCTAAACACAGAAAATGCTGGGACCCATGTGGTTACCTGGAGGCTGTGTGGCATTCAGAAGACTATTTGTGTCCACTTTGGTGTTTTTTGAGTGGTTCCCTGCCCAGTGTAAGGGTCTGAATTGTTCCCAGAATCATCTGCAGAGTTGAGTTCACAGCGATTGGCATAGGTGAGGAGGGAATCAGTCTGTAGTTGAGTCAAAAGCCTTATGTTCCTGATATCCATCCAGACTGCCAGATGTCTGGGCTCCAAGATTCCCCAACCTGCGACTGTTTCCATCCATGCATAACAGTCTACTGTTTACCTGGAGGCTGTGTGCAACCTCCTGTACAAGTCTTCCTTTCTAGGCGACTCAGAGCAGCAGGCGTAGTGCACATGTTGCGTCCAGAGCTGCTTGTATGTGGTGTGTGAAGGCACTGGAGGCCAGAGGTCAATGTCTGATGTCTTCCTCAGGACATGGATCTGCACCCCCCTTTAATCCTAACTCTAGGAGGCAGAGGCAGGCAGATTTCTGTGAATTCTCAGACTACAGGCCAGTTGGGGCTACAGGAGGGAGACCCTGTCTAAAAAAAAAAAGGGGGGGGGAACCTCAGCTGATCTCCAGTTGTGGGATTTTTTTTTTTTTTTTTTTTTTTTTTTGAGAAAGGCAGGGTCTCCCTGTAGGCCCAGCTGACCTGAACTTTCTATGTAGACTGGGCTGGCCTTGAGCTCAGAGAGATCTGCCTGCCTCTGCCTCCAGAGTGCTGGGATTAAAGGCGTGTGCCACCACATTTGGTTCTGAGCCTTTTAAAAATACATTTTTTAGGGGCTGGAGAGATGGTTTAGCAGTTAAGAGCACTGACTGCTCTTGCAGAGGACTCGGATTCCATTCCCAGCACCCACATGGTGGCTAACAACTGTCTGTTTACAGGGGATCCAACACCCTCTTCTGTGTCCTCTGTGGGCATTGCATGACACAGGTGTACTTACATACATACATGCTGCAATATACTCATACACATAAAATTAAAAATATTAATATTTTTAAAACTTAACTATGTGCTTATGTGTGTCACATGATGGCAGTCCCCACAAAGTTAGAAGAGGGGGTCAGAGCCTCTGCAGCTCAAATTACAGATGGTTATGAGCTGCCAGAACTCAGTGCTGGGATCTGGACCCAAGTCCTCTGCAGAGCAGGAAGTGCTTATAACAGCTCAGTGAGCCTTCGTGTTTGTCTAATCCAGGGGTCTGTTGGTACTTTTCAGAAGGATTTTATCTTAGGCAGGATGTCAGGTCACAGAGGTGGATAGTGAATGACTAGGCAGAGAACAGTAAGATTGTCAGGGATAATTAGGCTCTGACCTGCAGCATTCCAACTACTCTCCACAGTCACGGTTCAGCTCCCGCCCTCCCATCTTCAGTTAACAGATGACAAGCAAGCACTGCCACACCAAATTCATGTGGCACTGTGGATGGAACCAGGGCCTGGTGCTTGCTAGCCAAGCACTCCACCAACTAAGCCATGCTCCCAGCCTCAAGTTTTGTGCTTTACGCCTGGTATGCACGAACATTTATTGAGCGCCTACTGGATGCAGCAAAATTCTCACCATTCGACCGGGAGAGATGGAGAAATAGTAAAACAGCAAATTAAGCCAGGTTGGTGGTGCCACCCTTGATCACAGCCCTCGAAGGCTGAGGCAGGAGGATCTCGAGTTCCAAGCTAGTACAGAGACCTCGAAGATTTTTTTTCAGCATTGTTATCCTCTGCCACGAAATGACTCAACGGGGGCTGATGAGCAAAGTCAAGGGTCACTAGACCCTTTCCTGGGGAATTTGGCAGCCTCAGGTAGGGCAGGGGCCGCTCTTTTCTGCCATCGCGTGGCCACACGTGAAACTGCAGCCTATGGCTGGCTTGCAAGGGCAGAAAACTTGGCTCTTAGCTCCGCTGACCCGATCCTGGCTGGAAAAGGAACTAAGCGGAGAAAGGACATCGGTTCATTTGCTCAGCAAGCATTTGTTGAGTGCCTACTGTATGCCATAACGTGCTTCTAAGCACGAAGTTGTGGAGAGAAGCGTTGTGGGGTTTACCAGCACACCCCAAATGAGAAGAGGGTCTCTGGTCGGTGCTGTGCATCCTTTGAGCTTTCTCTGATGCACAACAAATTTGTGCCCAGGTCTGCCGATAGGACTCAACAAAAAAACGAAGCCGAGTACTTGGGGCTGGGTTGAGGACCCCAGGTCAAGGAGGGTCAAGTGGAAAGGGGGGTGTTATCAGAGGAGGGTCCAGTCCTGGGGACCAGCACACACACACAACCCTCTGGCAGGACATCTCTCTACTTCGATGGCCCAAGGTGGCTTTGTCTGTGAAGTTCCCAAGCACAGAGCAGGGAGCAGGGCGTGATTCGTGGGCGGTGGGAGCCCCAGAAGGTGCGGGAGCTGGAGAAGCGCACCCAGCTGCCTTAGGCTTCTGGGGGCAGGTGGGGAGGTGCAGGTGTTGTCCAAGGACCGCCTGTCCTGGGTTCTTTCCCCCAAGCCCCGGAAAGCAGGGCTGGCTGTGGGCCGTGACCCAGTGCTACACAGGCCAGAGCTCAGCTGAGCAAGGCCACGCCGCAGGGCTGGGCACAGGCAGAGCTCGAACCCAGCCTTCTGCCTCCAGCACTCCGAGTCCTGAAAACCTAGGCTCCAGAGGCTGTGGGCAGATCCCCCTCACCTTCCTCCCTCACCCGAGGCTCCGGCGCCCGCACCGGCTACGGACGCTCCCTTCCTGGTGTTTGGGTTTTAATTTTTGTGTTGCATTTAGAAAATTACCCATAATTACAGCTGCGGAGAGGAAACAGTCTGTGCTCCAGCTGTGCTGCCTCCCACGCACAGCTGGGCGGGGCTGAGGCCCGGAGGAGACCCGCGTGGGTCCCCAGCGCTGGGCCTGAGGCGCAGGTCCCCACGGGGCGCCAGCTGACAACATGACAGAAGGAGTTGTTTCCCAACAGGGACAAGCCCAGGGTGGTGTAGAAAAGATGCTGGAGTAGGTGGCGAGGGAGGAGGGGAGAAACTAAGGAGGAAGGCCGGAGAGGAGGGAGAACGGCAAGAAGGGGAGGCAGGGGAGGGTGGAGAGGAGAAAGAGACAGGAAGGAGGGGAGGGGGACGGGAAAGGGGGGGTTGGAAGGGGAGGAGGGAAGCGGAGGGAAAGGACGTTGGCGTCCGAGGGAAGAGAAGGAAGGGGAGGGCGGGTAAGGACAAGGCAGCCCTGCCGTTCCGGTTCTAGCCACACGGGGGCGCCGCGGAACCCGCGCGTCCCCTGGCGTCTCCGTCCCTTGACCCGGCACGACCGACTGGGAAGGAGGACAAATAAGATTGTTCTAGGTTCTTTTTTTCCGTGTCAGGGATGAAACCCAGGCCCTCGGCGTCTTAGGCCAGCGCTCGTCACCTGAGTCGCTCTCCAGCTAGAACTTTCTAGGCTTTGTGACTCCAGTTTCTGCGTCTGGTTTCCAGAGCACACCTTGGGAGAGAAAGAACAAGAGACAGGGGCAGAGGAACCAAAGACCTCCGCCGCCCAGATCGGCGAATCATTTTATTTACCACTTATGTGTTTGCGTGCGCAAGCACACGTGCCACCGTGCATACGTTGGTGTTGGCGGGAAAGAGACTTCAACGCTCTCCTTCCACTATATGGGCCCGGGGATCGAACTCGGGTCGTCAGGCTTGGTGGCAAGCGCCTTTACCCGCTGGCTGAGCCATCTTGCCGCCCAAGGGAATCGTTTTCCTGAGTTCAGCCTCCGCCTCCCACGGTAGTGTAGTTTCCACGCACCCGTGCTGATAGCGGGCGTGCTCCTCGGTCCCCTGCTCCAGGCACGCCTGCCTGTCTGCTCCGCCTCCAGCCTTAACCGGCGCGTGTGCCCCAGGACCTTTGCAATGGCTGTGACTCCTCTCTGAACACTCCTTCCACATCTTTCAGATTTAATCCTTAGGAAAAACAATCTCTTCCTGTCCCCTCCCTCGCATGGGTGGGGCCCGTTTCTCTCAGCCCAAGATGGGTGTGTGTGTCTCCCACCGGTCCCCGCGGCGCAGCTCCCCGGACGCCGCCAGGGATCCTGGGCGCGCTCGCGAAGGCTGTTTGGGAGCGCCTCCTGGTTGCCATGACGACGTGCAGCCGCTCCCGCCCGCAGAGCCTCCAGCCAAACAGCCAGCCCGGCTCGGGCGCCTCCCCCTCCTCCCTCCCTTGGAGCCCAGCCGACCTCGCCGTCGCCAGTACCCCCCTCCCTCTGTCCTTCCCCTCCCTCCGCCCAGCTTTCTCCTGCGTTACTCTCTGCTCTACTAGTCATAGCGATGTGTAGGGTTCCCAGAGCCCGGTAGACAGCAGGCGTTCAATAAATAGTTCTGGGTTGAGTGAAGACCAACTGTGGCAGAGGGCGGGAGACACTGGGCGTCAGGGGGTGCTTCGGCGCTTTTTGGGGACGGGAGTGGGATGGGGTGGGAGAGTCGGCCAGGCCCCAGGAGCCGGGCTCTCCCACGTGATGTGCATTCGGGGTGCGCCCACACCCTCTCTGTGCCTCGCTGCTGTAGGGGTTGCAGGCGGACCTCAGGAGCTGTTCTCCGAGCCCCGGGCGCCCCTAAGCCTTGCAGGCACCCGGCAGCTGCCAGCCCCGCCGCGGGAGAGGAAGCTGGGGGAGGGGGCGTTGGGTCTGGCAGGAAATGGGAAAGGCCGCGTCGGCCCAGCCAGGCCCTGGGGAGGAGGTGGAGCGCGGCCTTTCCTGCGCGGACAGGAACCTCCGCGGCCCTGAGTCCCTTCCGCGCAAGCTAGGGGGGGTGGGGTGGGGGACCTGCCTGCACCTGGGGTACTACACAGGACATGGCCCATACATGCTCCATGGGAAACGTGAGCGCAGGGCCGCGCGTTGCAGGACCGCAGGAACTGACCACCCACGCGTGGAAGCCCACGCGCGCACACGCTGTGCACGCAATCTCAAGCTGCTAACAACTGGGGACACTTTCGCCGACAGCGATCATTCATTCGCTGGGATGTCTCCTGACCTCCACGTAGGACGACCACGCATGCGTGCACTGGCCCCGCATGTCACACACGTGCACGTACAGAAGCCGCCTTCAGCCGGGCGTGGTGGTCCTCCCCTGTCATCCCTGCAACCCCGTGGTGAGTGGGAGGATCACAAGTTCAAGGCCAGCCTGGTCACATCACATAGTCCAAGGCAAGCCTGAGCTACATGAGACCCAGTTTTGGAAAACCAACAAGAAAAGTGTTGTGGCGGGGCCTGTGGGTGGAGCGCTTGTCCAGAACAAAAAAGGCCCTAGGTTCCACCCCGGCACCAGGAGGCTGAGGCAGGAAGATCAGGAGTTCAAAGTCATCCATCCTCAGCTAAATAAGTGAGTGCAAGGCCAGCTTGGGCTATGTGGGACCCTGTCCCTCTCCCCCTCAAAAAAAGGTGGTGCAGGTTGGTCCACAGCCTGTGTCCTGGGGACCCCAGAGCCCGTTTGCCCAGAGCCGGTGTACACAGTGTGCAGGAGGCCGGGAGGTGTCGCAGGTTGCCCGAGTGGAAACAGAGACAGGCACAGCAGCCTTTGCCATGGCCTCACTCGGTAGCCCAGCTGTCCTGGAGTTCGCGGGTCATCCTCCTGCCTCAGCTTCCTTGAGTTGCAGAGCTAGCAGCTGTTGGCGCACGTCCGGGGCTTGGGTGGCTCCGCGGGTCGCTCCCTGGCTGTGCACAGCCTGCTGGTGGGCAGCACCGCCTCCGCGGGCTCTGCGCGTGCGCGCTACCAGGGAGGGGCCCACCCGCGCGCCCGCCATCGCCGCTTTAAGAGTCGCGAGAGCGCGCGCGGCGGCGGGGATGCGCTTCCCGGAACAGCCCGCGGAGGGCAGCGGCGAGAACCCACCCGCGGCCGCAGCTCCCGCGCGCACACGCCGGGGGGCGCGATGGCCACGCGCGCCTGACAGGTGCGGAGCATGTACGGCAGGGCGGGCAAGGGCTGCGCGCCCTCGGACGGCCAGGCGCGCGAGAAGTGAGTGCAGCTGGTGCGCGGCTCGTGGGCCACGCGAGACCGGAGGGGCGTGGGAATCCAGGGGACACGCGGGATCCAGGGATAACTCGAGTCCAAAGGATGCGGGATTTTAGAGGGACACTGAACATCATAGGGTTATGCAAGACCAGAGGGGCGTGGGAATTCGGGGGGGACACTCGAGATCAGGCAACTGGGGGTCCCACGAGGGCTGAAGGTGGCGAGAGTTCAGGGGGACAGGTGAGATCAGGGGACTCGTGGGGTCGCACAGGACACAAAGGGCAGATATTTGGGGTGCACAAGTTCCAGGGGATTCACAGTCACATCTTATTTAGGTGACATTGGAGGCCTTGGTGGTTCTGGGGATCTGACAGGTGTGAAGTTTGCGGTGGGCTGTGAGACATGCACATGTATAGTCACTGACCTGAAAACCCAGGATCCTGGCCATCAGTGGGTCCCAAACCACAGGATGTGAAAGGGGACACGTGGGATTGATTGTGGCTGGTTGAGACCAGGGCATCTCATGATGCATAGGAGATATTTGTGACAAGAGCTGGATTCTAGTGTCGGGAGTTTTGGGTAGATGAGCTTGTGTGTGAAGTTTAGGATGTAATGCTAGGAGAGATGTGGGGGTTTGGAGTCTCTGTCCCCATGCATTGGTCTGGATGCAGGACCCAGTGACTTCACATGGATCAAAATTGTACTGGCTCTCTGTAAACTGAGTTGGAGGTGCAGGATGGGTGACCCCCATGGACAGACAGTGATGCCCCAGCTTCTAATGAAAACCTGGCTGACGTCACCTTCTTTCCCTGGTCCACGGAGGACAGTGGGTGGAGATGGAGGCATTTGAAGGGCCCTGGGAGCCTGCCACCCACATTTGCTGTGTCCTGAGCCTGCCAAGCCCAGGCTGACCTGGGGCCCCTGGGTGTGGGACAGGCTACCCTTGCACAGAGGAGCCTGGGTCAGCAGGGACACCCCTCAGACCTCCCCTGCGGCCTTTCACCAGTGGCTTGTGGCCTTATTTGCAGACAGAAAGCTCAAATACTCATCCTGACATAGACTGCTGCTTGTGTGGGAAGAGGGGATGTCTGGCTTGGGTACTCCAAGCTTGATGAGGCCTAGCAGTCAGAATGGTTCACATGGACAGTCCTGTGGTAGGCTGGGAGGAGACAGGGACCTGGTCACACTGCAAGCCAGTGGGATGTTGGGGGCCTCAAGGTAGGCTGTGAAGTAGTAGGGTGAGGGGCTTGTCAGGGCAGCAGGGGCTCACATTGTGCAAAGGCCCAATGTGTGGGCCACAGGGAGGCTCCTATGGGAAAAATTCTCTCCATGTGGGAGGTCTGAGGCAGCTACTTGAAGAGACCCTGTCTCAAAAACCAAAAAGGCTTCAGGGCTCATGGAGAGTGGGAAAAGAGGCCAGGCAGGCCCAGGGTGGTGGTTCCTGGAGGCCTTCAGGGAGCAGTGGGCTGGGAGTTCCAGTCAGCCCAGACAAGTCTGAGACACGCTGAGTGGGGTTTTCTTGCAGCGCTTTCCTGTTGTCACCTAACCAGCATGGGTGCTGGGAAGGGGGCAGGCAGGACTAGAGACACTAGAAATGCCTTAGGGTTCTAGGTCAGCCAGAGCTATTGTATGCAGTCCTTGTGCAGACTGGGTAGGAGGGACTAGAGACTAAGAAAGTACCAGATGGTTGCTGGTCCCTGTAGGCCGAAGGCCTAGCCACCTCAGCCATGGGGCCTCCCCACAGTCCTCACTGCTGTGTGGTAGCCCTTTTGGAGTCTCAGGAAAGGCCCACGAAAGGCCATAGATAGTACCCTAACACTGGTGGCCCGTCACTGACTGGCCACTTGTGGTTCAAGCCTGGATTTCCTCTTCTGAGAAGTGGGGTAGAGGATCACCCCAGCTACATCCTTCTTGGGCCCATCCTAGGTAACACATCATGACCTGTGGGGTGTTTATTGGGTTGTGGAGACCCTGCCCTCACCTGGTCAGGATGAGGATCTGAGTGGACCTCACACAAGCAGGGGTGTATGAGCACTCGCTGTGGGTCTGTGTCCACCTGCTGCCCAGAAGTTGAGACTCTGGACAGCTGGCCTCCCCTGGGTACTGGTGACAAGACCCTGTTTAAGGACTACCCCTGGGGAGGAGGACCCTGGGTGGCTGCGGCAGGACCGATGATGGGTAGATGGTGACCGGACCCCTAGATGGACTCTGAGGGGTGCTGGCAGGAGTGGTCCTTATGGCAGTTCCCCATAATGATGATGGTGGTGTTGCAGTCTATGGGCACTACCACAGAATGAGCTGTGCTGCACGAGGCTGAAGGCCCTGGGGCCAGCTCTGTACTTGAAGCCCTCCTTTCCCTGGATGCTCACAACCCCTCTGTCTACCTGCTTTCTGCCACATGGTGATTGGGGGCTCTTAGGTGCTGTGCTGACCTTGTCTGTGCTTCCCTGGCCCCCCAACCAGTAAAGACAAGTGTCACATGATTTTAAGTATGCTGACTTGGGATGTGGAGCAGAGTTGGGGGTAGGTGTGACAGGAACTCCTCTGAGCAGTGACACTGGTGTCTAGGGGAGGTACGGCCTGGGCAAAAGCCCTGGGGTGGGAGATGGGACCTGGAGCCAGCAGGGGGGCTGTGTCACCTTCCCAGGTGGAGGTACACAGGGATATCTGTCTTGGGAACACACCCTTAGGGGTCCAACTCCTGCCCTGCCAGGAGCTGGCAGCGCTCACACATATGAGCTGTAGATACAGCCTTTGTCTCGGGCCACCAGGGGCCTGCCCTGACTCCAACACTTATCTCCTAGCCTCAGCCCTACCCAGGCCTGCTCATTTGTCTCCCTGTTAGAATGTATCCCTGGGAAGATGGCTGGTGTGCCACTGCACAGGAAGCCACTTGGGGCGGTGTGTGTGTGTGTATGGTGGATGGATGGATGGATGGATGGTTGCCTGGGTGGATGGATGGATGGATGGATGGGTAGATGGATGGATGGATGGATAGATGGATGGATGGTTGCGTGGGTGGATGGATGGATGGATGGATGGATGGTTGCCTGGGTGGATGGATGGATGGATGGATGGATGTGGGTTGATGGGGATAGATGGGCGGGTGGGTGGATGAGGATTAGTGGGGGTGGGTAGGTGGATGGTGATAGATGGGTTAGTGAATGGATAGAATATACGTGGGTGGATGAATGGATGGATGAGTAGATGGATGGGTGGGTGGATAAAAGAAGATGATCCAGGACAAGGGCACAGCTACCAGGGGTTGGGCAAGGGGTGAGAAGCCCCCATATTCTTTCCCAAGTTTGACCTGGGACAGAGAGACTAGAGGCTGGGGGTAAAAAGAGGGTGGGGGAGGCATTCTGGGATGTGAGGGTGGATGGGAGAAGTCCAGGGAGGGAGGACCTCAGTCAATAGCAGGTTATTTTAGGAAGGAGCCCTCAGCCAGGGAGGGCGGGTCGAGGACACCTGGCAGATAACTCGGGATCCTGGTAGGCCTGTTTCCCATCCCTCAGAGAGTCCCTCCACCCACATCCCACCCTGGGGTAGAGTGGAGTAGTGGAGCACCCTAAGGGCAGAACTGTATGGTAGAGGGGCCAGAGCCTAGCCCATGGGTGACCTTGGGGTGGGGTGCTCCTGTGGAGGGAGGGCTCTAGGTGGGTTGGATGGCCTGACCCATTATGGTGGCCAACAGAACAAGGGGTTCCCAGCAGGCTGTAGGCTCTGGCAAGACATTGGTGTTAGGACAGGGGCCCCATGGTATGTGGCATGCTTGGCACTGCCTCCCCCAGCCTCAGCTCCTTCCCTCCTGTTACTGCCTCCTTGGAGTGGGCTACACAGAAGGTTACTGTGGACACCTGGGGAGGGGGCCTCTTGGTGGGGTGTTGGCAGATGAATAGGAGTTGGCTGCTGCTGATTAATGGGTTGAGGAAGTTATCTTTTGTGATTGATGGGTAGGGTCTAGTAGGGTTCAGTGAATGAAGGGTGAGGTGAAGGACTGACTGGGGCACCTGCCCATGGTTTCCATCTGCAAGCTGGGCAGGCTTCTGTGGGTGCTGCCAGGCTTAACCCACATACCGACCCATCCACAGGCTCGCACTGTATGTGTATGAGTACCTGCTGCACGTGGGTGCACAGAAGTCCGCACAGACCTTCCTGTCTGAGGTGAGTTGGCATTTGTCTCTCAGCCAGGCCACCAGTGTGTGGGTCATTCCATACTGCCCGGGGTCACCCAGCATGTCCCTAGTGGGATCCCTGGGTAAATAGAGGGTCAGGCCATATACCCATTCACTCACCCCTCTTTCCACAGATCCGCTGGGAGAAGAACATCACGCTGGGAGAGCCCCCTGGTTTTCTGCATTCCTGGTGGTGGTGTGTGTCAGGCTGTGGGGGTGGCAGGAGGGGATTTTCAGGGTAGGTGAGGTCACCATGATCCCTCTGCCCCCACTCCCCCAACAGCGTCTTCTGGGATCTCTACTGTGCAGCACCAGACCGGAGAGAGGCCTACGAACACTCCAGTGAGGCCAAAGTCTTCCAGGACTATGTACGTTCTTGGGGTTCTGGATTCTGGTCCACTGCTTTTGTTCTTTTTTTTTTTTTTTTTTTAAAAAGTCTCATTATGTAGCCCTGGCTGGCCTGGAATTCACTATGTAGACCAGGCTGGCTCCAAACTCACAGAGATCCACCTGCCTCTGCCTCCTGAGTGCTGGGATTAAAGGCATGCACCACCACCACATTGGGATGATCTGGGCCACTCCTGAGGGTCCCTACACTAGGAACCCCCAGATGGAAGAGGCCCCTTCCACTGCAGTCATGCCCGGCTGTGCTCCAGGCAGTTGATGGGATGCAGAGGGAGCCCCCCAATCCCCAGTCCATGAGCTTTCCAAGACAGAGCCTGTGTGCCCGCTCGCCCTATGTGCCCTAGAGGCCATTGGCCTCATGACTGCCCAGCACAGCGCATTGCAGCTCCTTGGCCTCAGTTTCTCTTTGGCAGAGTGGGTGCCAGGCCTGTGTGGATTAGAGCCTTGGGGCCTCATCTTGTCACCAGGCAGCAGGTGCCTCTCACCCGGCAGGCATGCTTAGCCCATGTCCCCCATGGGGTGATGGGGTGTGCCCAGTGCAGCGCCCGAGCAGGAACTGGTCCCGGGATCCTGCAAGCCCAGGTGCTGCACCTCCCTGCAGGGTCCCCAGCGCGCTGGTTACTATGGCAGCGTGGGTGTTGGGAGGGTGGGGCCGCCGGCAGGCGCTGGAGCCAGGTCCTCAGCGCCCTGTGGCTCTGGGCGGCGACCTTGGCGTCTCCAGGAAACAGGAGTACGCCCTGCTCGTTGTCATGACAACATGGGCGGGCTCTGGTGCCACTCAGTGGATGATTGACTTGGAGGGGTCTGGGTCAGGCCGCCATCCTACAGTGCTTAGGCCTGTGTCTCTGGTGTGTGCAAGGGCGTCCCCAAGGGGTCTGGCATTTGGAATTGGGGACCATCCAGGAGTGAGGGGCAAAGGACTGTGACATCTCCCAAGTCATGGGATTTTAGTGATTTGGCCTGGTCATTGCTTGGGCATGCGCTTAACCATAACTGTCATCTATCCCCTTGGGGTATAACAAAAGTGGCAGGAAGGGATGGTCACCAGGGACTCCTCTCAGAGCCATAGCAGGGCTATCCCTATTCCAGGGATAAAGTCAGATGCCAGCCCAACCCCGGGGACCGGACCCTGAACCTGTAGGCACTGGTGGAAAGGCAGACAGAGCCTGGGGTCAGCAGAGAGGTTCCCTTCCGTGTCCTGAGTTTTGCCTTTGGGTCCCTGTCCCTTCCCCTTCCTGCCTTCTGGTTGCCAAAGGTGGACAGGTCCTGGACTTGTAACCCAGCAGCCAGTGGTCCCAGCCTTTCTGCCCACTCTGCCAGCCCCAGGCCCAGATTCACATCCCAGCGTGACCATCTGGGCTCTTGTCCCATGACTGTGTGGAGGGAGGAGACAACCCTGGGCAGGAAGTGGTCAGATCTGATCCTCACCCTGTCCCCTATCCTTGCAGAGCGCAGCAGCAACCCCCAGCCCTGTGATGGGGGGCATGACCCCTAATGACGCAATGGCCACAGGCCCCATGGCACCCGGATTTTTCCAGGTACGGCCCTCTGGACCCTCTTTTGTTCCCACAGCCCAGGATGAGGGTAGATTGCAGACCAGGACTGAGTGGCAGGTCTGTTGTAGTGGGTATGTACTCTGCCTTGGGTCCCAGCTGGTGAGGGGCCTGGGTCTGTACCCCTGAAGTATTGGTGTCTGACCACTGGACCCAGGACTTTTTGGGAGTCAGGCTTCAGAAACCTCCCCAACCTTGGCTTTGCCCTCTTGGGCAAGATGGGCCTCTATCTCCATAGCTCCAGTGAATGGACCACACAGTGAGGCAGGGGCTAGCCCAAACACACTCATGCACCCCACCCTTGACCACTGCAGCCTGGGCCAGCTGGCTGTAGTCTGCAGTCTGGTTCTGGAGCAAGGGACTAATAGGTTGGAGGGCTCCTGAGTCTGGGGGCCCAGACCAGTAAGAAAGGGAGGCTTTAGGGGAAGTGGCTAACTGGGGGGTGCTGATTCAGACCCACCTTTTCCAGCCCTTCATGTCACCGAGGTTCCCAGGGGGCACCCGGCTCACCCTAAGGATGCCAGGCCAGGTGAGAGAGGACCTGGGTGTGTATGTGGGAGCAGGAGCTGACCCAGGATGGGGACCCCGACTCAGTATTGTGCTCTTTGCCACAGCCTTCTGTGGGCCTTCCTGGCTCCCAGCCGCTGCTCCCTGGTGCCATGGACCCCTCCCCACGTGTGCAGGGTGAGTGGGACAGCTGCTGCCCCAGGAGACCTTGCCTGGAACCTGGCCTTGTAGCCCCCTGCTTGTTGCGTCCAAACCTGGGGTGCCCAGGTCTGATCCCCCTTCCTTACATCTCCACCCAGGGCACCCCAGCTTGGGAGGCCCGATGCAGAGGGTGACGCCTCCTCGGGGCATGCCCAGCGTTGGGCCCCAGGTAAGGGGTGGCCCAGCCCAGTGGGAGGCAGAGGAGCTGTGCTGTGGGTTGTCCCCCTTGCCATCTTTACTTTCACAGGGCTATGGAGCGGGTATGCGGCCCCCACCCAACTCTCTTGCCACCAGCCTGCCACCCATGAACATGTAAGCCTCTTATATGTCCCCTAGCTTGAGGTGATCCAGTCCCCTGTCCCCACTGCTGGAGCTGGCCATGCATTCCTAGATGGGCTGGGTATTGCTTATTTTACTGTTGAGTGGGAAAACTGAGACTCAAGTCCCATATCAGGGAATGACTTTGGATCTGGGTATCTGGAGTGGCTTGATCCACATCTGGGCAGTGCATCTGGCTGGGCCAAGTGTACAAAGGGCAGGCAGATGCCTAGCCTGCTCCAGCGCCACCCCCATCTCTTCCAGGGGCCCGGGCGTGCGCAGCCCCTGGACCAGCCCTGGTGGCAATTCGGTGAGTGGCAGACTGGGCAGGCTGGGAAGCGGGTAGGGGGTGGGCTGCCTGCTCCTGACCACTCACAGCTGTCCCTGCCTGTTCCCAGATCCCCTATTCCTCCTCATCTCCTGGAAGCTACACGGTGAGTCCCTGTGTTGTGGGCGACTGGAGTCTGTAGGGGGCTGTGGGGTGCAGGCCGAGGCGGGGTGGTCTCACCTTTCCTGTTTTTGTGCAGGGACCCCCAGGAGGAGGCGGTCCCCCTGGAACGCCCATTATGCCCAGTCCTGGAGGTAGGGTGCACCCATGGTGGTGTGGCCTGGGGCGTCGGGGTCCCCCTTCCATGCTCCCACCCACGCAGCCTCTGCTGTCCCCCCAGACTCCACCAATTCCAGCGAGACCATGTTCACCATCATGCACCCCATCGGGCCGGGCGCGGGCAGAGCTAACGTGAGTGGGGACCGGGGGGCCTCACCCGGGGGGGACACGGCGGGGGGCAGCCGGCCCAAGCCCCATGCTGCCCTGTGCCCGCAGTTCCCACTCGGCCCCGGCCCGGAGGGCCCAATGGCCGCCATGAGCGCGATGGAGCCACACCACGTGAACGGATCCCTGGGTGAGTGGCTGGTAGAGTTCGCTGGACCAGTGCGCCACCTGGCGGCCCTAGCACACAGAACTGCCCTGATCCCGGGTGGGAGAGGGTAAGCTCCTAGGTCCCCTGAAGCCAGCACCACCTACACCAGCAAATGCCCTGACCCAGGGCGCTGGAGGTCCCCTGTTCTCGAGCTCCATCAAAGGTCGCCCCTGACCCTGATCCCCGAGGGTTCCCTGTCCCTGAGCAGCGCATGAGCCCCGTGTCTCGCCCCGCAGGCTCGGGCGACATGGATGGGCTGCCAAAGGTGAGATGAATTACGGTGTGGGTGGGGAGGGCACTGGCGCCCGGGGCGCGGACCTCGTTGACCACGGCTGCCCCCAGAGCTCCCCTGGCACCGTGGGCGGCCTGAGCAACGCCCCGGGGACCCCGCGCGATGATGGCGAGATGGCGGCGGCTGCCGGGACCTTCCTGCACCCGTTCCCCAGTGAAAGTGTAAGCGCCTGCGTTGACTCCCCACCCAAGGCCACGGCGGGCCGGAGGGGCCTGGCGGGCAGACCCCGGCGGGGCGGCCGCGGGGCCAGAGCAAGACCGTGACCGCGGCGGGCCAGGTGGGGGGGCGGCCGCGGCACCTTCCCCTCCTCCCATGCCCAATCATCCCCTCCCGTGTCCCCGGTGTCCCCGGGAGGGCGGGCCCCAGCCTCGGCCGGAGCTGAGCCTGGCCCGCGCGCCGCCCTCTCTCCGCAGTACTCCCCTGGTATGACCATGAGCGTGTGACCGCCCGGCCTGCGCTCAGTGTCCTGCTGGCGAGGCCCTGGGTCGTGCCCCTGCTACCCGGACTCCTGGGCAGCCCAGCCTGGACAGCCGGTGGGGCCCGCACCAAGGACTCTCATTTTCATTTTCTAAAACAAAACCAAACAAAGGACCTCAGAAATGTTCTTTGCATGCAGCCCTTCTGCCTGTGTGCTGTGACAGGCTCCCCTGGGCGCTGCCAATAAACACCATTTTTTGGTATTGCTGGTGTCGGGACTCCCTCACTTGACCTGTGGCAGCAGCCTTCATCCCTCCCCAGGACAGGATGGATGGGTTGGAGCTGGGTGTCTACCACCAAGAAGCCACAGGGTACTGGGGAAGAGGCAAGTGGACTGGGCCAGGGCAGCCTGGTCTACATAGTGAGACCCTATAAAAACCTACCAGGAGGCTTTGCTTGGCTAATGAGGAGCTGCTTTATTGTCTTTGGCAGGACCTTGGGGGTAGATGGGATCAGGGGCTGGGGATGGAAGGACTACTGCCTTAGGCAGTGGGAACTTCAGGTGCCTGTGCCTGCGTGTGCCCATTGGCATCACCTGTGCAGCCATTGGTGGCAGTGGATGTGGACTCTTTCTTGCAAGACAGCAGGCTGGTGGCCATCACTTCCCCACGGTGCTTGATGGTTGGACGCTCCATTTTGTGTTCTAGGAGCATGTGATTCTGGGGTGGGAGGCCCACACAGGCTCTGTGAAATAGGGCAGGCTCAGTAGGGTCACCCCATGGGACTGTCCCTCCCTGCCCTGTGTGTCCAGTTCTCCCTACCCCACACCTGAGAATGTTCTCGATACAGCTACGCTGGCGGAAGAGTGCGTTCACCACCGGGCTTCCTGGGGGCACTAGTGGGGCCTTGAAGAGGAAGCTGAGTAGTGACAGCACCGGGTGGAAGCCCTGTGGCTCAGGATCAGTGTCCGTGTAGAAGCTCACCCGCTGGCAGAGCTCGGTGAGCAACACCAGGTCCAGCATGATGGGTGCGGCCAACAGTGAGTCCTGGGGGGAGCAGGTAGCTTTCCTGGTATGGGCATGGTCCATCAGCACCCAACCCCACTCACCCCACCTGGGCCCACCCTCGAACCTCGCAGGTGTTGTGTAACACCAGGGTGTTGGTTCCCCCCAGCATCAGCTCTGAAGTATACTCATCCAGTGCACGCTTGCTGTCACCCACGTATGGCACATATTTGATGACCACCTGTAGGACATATTGGGTCACCAGGGCTCCACCCTGCCCTCCCCCCCCCCCCCGCATCCCCACTCACGCACACAGTGGTCTGGCTCCTCCCCAGGTGCGTAAAGCACAGGGTTGCTCTGCACCATGTCGTCCACCACACTGCTCTTGGATGCTTCCTTGGAGCGGAACTGTTGTGGCGCAGACAGGTTTTGACCATCATTGTTGCCCAAGTGGTTGTAGCTCACAATAGACATGGTCTGCAGTCAGGGACACCATGGATAGGGATGTGCTTGGCTCTGTGGTGCATGCTCCCTGCCCAGGGTCCCACCTACTTCTCACACCTCATAAAAACCCTGGATACCTTTAAGCCGGAGCTAATGAGAAAGTCAACCAGCACCGACTTGACTTTTGTCTGGCCTGACTTGAAGTCGTCCCCGCCCACAAACACATGGTGCTGCGATGCTAGCTGAAGGGCACCAGGTACCAGTGTGTTCTGTGGGGACCCGTTGAGGAAGGCACAACCTTCGAGGATGCTGGCCACTGCAAAGAGTGTGGATGGTGACACCTCTAGGCCAAGCTGCAAGCAGAAAGGGCAGTCAGCATAGGCTCTGAGGACTGGGCCTAGGCCCCAGGCCTTCTGGACATGTTCCCACCTGGATGGTGCGCAGCAGGTTCTCAGCTGTGTCATTGCGACCCGGGACCACCTCGCAGAAGCGCTCTGTGTTAGCCGTCCATAGCACGATGACTTTGTCCAACCCAGCACTGGACCTGAAGTCACGGATGTCTTTGCGGATCTGCTCCAACTGGGTGGAGGGCAAGTAGGTACGGATCTAAGCCCCACACACTCCAGCCATTCAGTCTCAGTTGTACAAAGGAGGGCCTGGACTCCCGGGAGAGGCAATGGGGCAAAAGGGAGCGACAGATGACCAGTTAACAGGTGGCAAGGAGGAGCCAGGGAAGCTGGAAAAGGGCCACACCTGCTGTGCACGCGTTCCGTGGATGAGGTTATCAGCGCGCGCCGTCTGATTAGCTGCGATGAACTCGGGGATGTAGACAGAAGGCCGGGGACGCAGATTCTCCATATGTGACCACAGCTGCTCCTGCAGGCCGAAATCCAGGACCTGCGCACGCCTCATCGCCTCGGCCAGGTTCAGCGAGGAGATATCCCAGCCTAGGGTGCAGGGGCCCTCACACTGTATCAGTCCACAGCCTGGTTCCCCTCCCCCACATTCACCCCCACCCCACCCCATCCCTTGTCTTGAAGCTCCGTTCACCGTCAAACACCAGGTCATTAGGGGTCACCATGGGCAGCAGCGCATTGAAGGGCACGAACACCTCCTGGCCGTCCGCATCCAGACCCAGGCTCACGGTGCCCGCCTGGGTAAGCGAACCGTAGTAGTTGGCTTCCTAAGGAGGGACAAACAGGGCCGGGGGCGCGCTGACACTCAAGTTCCGCCACGCAAAGTTCAGTTCCGGGCTCCAGGCCACCGACCCCAGGCAAGGAATCTCAGGCCGCGCCCTTCGCGTCCACTTGGCCCCTCCCCTGAACAAGGCTGCGCCTTATAAGCCCCGCCCCCGGAATCCACGAGCCCCTCCCGCAGCCCCGTACCCAGGCTCCAAGCACCCCAGGCGCTTAAACCCTGTCCCTATAGGCTCCTCCTATCCCCGAGCGCCTCCCTGGAGGCCCCGCCCCCAGGACCCCTCCACGCAGACCCGGCCCCCACCTTTTGGCCGGTGCGTGTGGGCCAGGTCAGGCGCAGCCGGTTGGCCAGCACGGCCGCGGTAAGCGTGGAGCCGTTGTTCCCGCCCCAGCCCACGAGCATGACCCCGAGCCGGGGCACCTGCCGGGCGGTCCGGAAAGTGAAGTGCGTGGCCGTGGGCTGTACCTAGGGGAAGGTGTGGAGTGAGTTTCGGACCCCTGGGAATCGTGGTCTCCCCGCCGCCCACACCCCACCCCCACCCCCGAGCACCCGCAGCACGCAGCCCTCGCGGCTGACGCGGGTCGTCCGGTACTCGTAGTGCGCCTCGATGGCCTCGGGGCTATAGACCACGTCCGGGCTGTCCACCACAATCTCGGCGGCGGGCTCCATCGTGGCGAGCTGCGGGACAAGGCCGGGGTGAGCGGGGACCCAATGCCACTGAGACCCTCGGGGAGCCCGCCCTCCGCCCGAGGACAACACTTACACGGGTTCCGACTCGAATCAGAGAGCGGCGGCGGACGCGCGGGCTCCGCAACGCGCGGGCTACGGAGAAAAGATCCGCGGCCACGCCCCAAAACGCCCTGGACACGCCCCCTCCGTGGGGGCTGGGCGCGCGACTCAGGGTTCGAGGCCCACCGGGACCCCAGGCGGCCGGAAACTGCTTGGGCACGAGCGTTGTGCGTATTGGCTCACTCGGCATCAACGTTTCCAAGGCCCATGCGGCAGCCAATGAACAACGGCCACCGGCCAAAGGGGCGTGGCCGGCCGGGGAGGAAGGCCTGGGCAGGGCGGGGGGGGGTCTTTGGGTGTGAGATAAGGCTGGGGTCCCCGTCATTCGATAGGAGCTTCTGCGAGAGAGCAGCGGCTGTCCCACCTGTGGGCCTCTTCCCAGACCAGTCTCTGCTCTAAACTGGGTCCGGTGGTTAGACCTGCGTGGCCTGGGATTTCCCCCACGAAGGACCGCACTGTGGAGGGTGGGCGGTTCTCCAGGGCGAGGGTGGGGGATGGCCAGGCTAGCGCAGCCGGTGCAGGGCAGGCGCTGCGATAACGAGCGTGGGAACCCAGCGGGCAGGCGGGGGAGACTCCCCCAGGAAGTTTCCAAAACAAGCAGCTTCCTCCTAGCGGAATCTTTCCACCGCTGGAGCTGGGCCAAAAAGGTGGATGGTCGGGAGTATCTGCCTGCAAGGGAGGGGGCCTCGCTTTTGGTTTTAGAGTTCATCTTTTAGAGGCCCCAGTAAGAATGGGTAGGAGGGGACTGGGCGCCTCAAGTGAAGACCTCCAGTCAGGATTTGAGGAGGGGACTGCTGGGAAGGGTTTTGAGGTATGAAGAGATTTCTGAGGTAGAACAGCAGGCAGAGCCTACTACTGTATTCCCCACAGTGAAGGTGCAGACAGGGGCTCAGATACCGGAAAGGGAGGCCGCGGGGGACCTGAAGTGTGCCATGCAGCTAGCTAGTCTTTTATCTTGGAGATCCACATCAGTCCAAATGGCCTGTGATTTAATCAGTCACATTTATGTGGTGATTATGCCAAGGTGGTGCAGCACTTTGGGGTGCTGAGACAGGAAGATTTGCAAGTTCAAAGCCGACTCAGAACTGAGCACTTATCCAGCCTCCCCGGGGGACACCTGGTCTGTCTGATGAAGATGAGTCTCAGGTTCTAGGGGCCCCAGCTCCAGCACAAGGAAGGGGTGCCCAGTAGGAGGCTGGAAGGATCCAGACACATCTGGTACACCCAATCTCTTACAACATGAGCTTGGCCCTGGGACTGTGCTTTGTGGAACCACACATAAAAACCTCTACACCTCTATCTTTTTATGCTGTTTTGTTTTCCTTTGAGACAGGGTTTCCCAGGCTGGCCATGAACTTGCCATAGCCTCCCCAGGACTGGGATGACATGCCTATTGTCACAGAGTAATCTGTGAAACTGGGTTTTCTCTGACCCCACTAGGTCCTGGGGGCTCATACTCCGTCTACTGTCTTGCCTCCCCTTTCAGAAGCCGGGGTGTTAGGCACTCTGGATCAGTCCCCTCTGGGGTTTTACCCAGTGCCTGCCCTCAGCTGTGTCTCACATAGGCTGATGATGACTTTCTGATTCTCAGCCCTTTCAACAAACCTACTTGAAACTGTTGAGAACAGGCTCTGGTGAATTCCAGAGCTGCCCATGGCAGCTGTTCCCAGGCCTGGATACTACTGCTGGAAGGTGATGGCAGGAGCTGGAAGCCAGCAAACCATGGAGAGGGGGGATGTGGCTCCTGGGGTGGGTGGCCCCAAGGACTGGTCACCAAAGAGGAGAGGCCCTTCTGGCCTGGGTACCCCTGACAGGGCAGCAGTGGTCAGGACTTGCTTTGGGAGGTGTGTGGAGACAAGGGCCAACCCTGGGCTGGGGTGACGGAGATGGAACAGTGTGGCCAGGCTGTTCCCCCTGCCTGGGTATATAGTGGCCTGCGGGATGCCTGGCTTTCCATCCACCCCCTCGGCTGCCTCAGAACTCAGGCCAAGCCCGCAAGACCTGCTGACCCCAGCTTTTCCCTCACTGGGCTCTTTAGGTTTTCCTTTTGAAAACAAACAAGCTTGCCACCTCAATCTTGGAGCAGGCTGTGAGCCACCAGGAGCTAGGGCTAATAGCAACAGAGCCCACTCTTGTCTCCAGGGCCCAGCAGCTCAAACAATCCTCTCTCAGCCTCCTGAACTACATGTGGCTTTCATTTAGATCTCTCCACCTGGCCCTATTCCTGTTGGCCTTTGTACTGTGGGAGACCCTGGCCTGCATGGCTCCCCATTACACCAGTCCACCCTCCTCCTGAGGTCTCCAGTCTGTGACCAGGTACTGGCCTGGCCCCTCATCTCACCTCAGGGGCTTGGAACCCCCACCCTTCCATGACACACATAAGCCAGCTGGGGCAGCTGGGCTCAATTTGGTGAAATTTATTGTAGATTGAAAAAGTCAGCGGTTCACCTGCTTAGTGTACAAAAGAACACGAGATTTTAAGAAAACATCGCAAGGAGGCGACACCTGTCAATTGTAATGTTTTGGCAAAAGTGAAGACTTCTTGTAAACACCAACTCCATGGCTCAAAATAGATTTCTCCACAGTACATTAAAAGGTGGGGTACAGTATCAATAAGTTAGACCATATTTAACAGGCTAGAGCCTGTCCGTGGGCCCCAGAGCATGGCCCTTTCCTTAACTTCATAAATCTCAGGAAGACAGACAAGAAAAAAAAAAAAAAAAAAAAAAAAAAAAAAAAAAAACCCTAGAAAGGTCAATTTAGCACTGGACCAGGTTCCTTGGGTTGGGGAGGGGCACCCTGGGCTGTGACCTCCCCCAATACTCCAGGTCACTCATAAAATAGCACAGTTGTGCTGGATGTGCATTGTGCAGCGCTGGGCCCTGTCCCCACTGCCCTAAATGAGAAAAATGAGAGCCATTGAAACAAAAGGGTGGTTTCCTCTAGTGTGTGCATACCCCAGGGGTCCTGAAGGAAAGCTAGGGTTAGGTGGGGTGGGACTAGACCAGGCAGGCGTCGCCAGGCAGCAGGGCTCTTTGGAAACCATGGGAGGGGACACCCCCATGGCTTAGAAAAACAGACACATCTGTGTTTGTGTTTCTGCCCTCCCCTGTGGGTGGTGACCCGTGTGACCCCTGGGCACGCTACCCCCAGCACATCCCCAGTGAGGCTTCCCTTGGCCCCGAATGCACAGCTTGGCCCCCACTCACACGTACACACACATGCACGCACACACCCCCACACCAGCGGTCCCCAGAATTTGGGGGAACGAGGAGACGAGGCACGGTAAGAAAGCAGCAATCAGGGGGCCACAGAGCCTGTGCCCCAGAAAGGGCAAGCAGGGTGCCATCCTCAGGTCCCCACCTCTCCCTGAGTGGGAGCCCAGCAGGGGTATCCCAGGAGCCGCAAGTGGACAGAGGGCCTGGGGGAGGACAGCAGCACAGAGCCGTTTGGGGCTGCAGTGTGAAATGAAGAGCAGGTGGGGCTGAGGACTGTGTGCTGCTAAAGCTCAGGGCTTTGAGGACAGCACAGAACACCATGGTGACCCCAACAACTGGGAATCTGAAACAGCAGCAGGCCTGGCAGCTTGCTGTGCCAGCCAGAGCCAGTGGTGGGCCCGTGGGTGAGGGTGTGGGTGCTGGGCAGCTGCGGCTCTCCCTGGAGCCTCTGTAACACTGTGGGAGGCGCCTGCCGGCTGGAGGAGGCACGGTGTAGAAAAGGTACAAAAATAGACAGTCTGCAGTGCAGCTAAAAGTTCGTATAAAACTAGAAAAGGCAAGCAAGCCGATTGCATGGAGAGGGAGCCTGGGCACCACGCAGGTGTCCACACCATCCCTTACGGCTAGGGCCAAGCCTGCAGCTGCTGCTGGTCATACTCAGCGATGAGCCGCTTGATGTGCGCCAGCTTCCGGTGCAGGTACTCGCAGCGCCGCTTCTCCCGGCTATAGTTGGTGTTGGTCTGTGAGGGAAGTAGGGAGTTGGGGTGAGACAGCAGCACCAGCCGGGACTGTCCCCACCAGCCCCCTCCACCTCGCACACCTTTTTGATTTTGCGGTATTCCTGCAGGATCTGCCCTCGGGTTGTCTGTGGGGAGAGCAGATACACGCAGTCATGCCACCTGCAGGAGCCCAAGGCCATGTGGCCTGTCCCAGGTTACCAGCTAGATGAAAGCAGGTGCAGATTGGGAAGCGGGTGGCCACATCCTGCAACGTGGCTGGCCTGTCTACTGCTTCAGGGAGCAGGGGCCAGTGGGGACATTGTGAAGTGGTCACACTGTGGCACTGTGGCATAGGGAGGGGGAAGCCCCAGCCTGTGTGCCACAGATATCCCATCATTCCTCCAGTCCTGAGGCCCAGACCCTGGTGCCCACCAGTCCGCTTTGGCAGAGCCTGAGGTGCCCTGCAAGAGGCCCTGGGCCCAGGCTTCATTCCCAGCTCTGTGGGCAACCTGCTTCTCACCCCAGCTGCACTGGGCTTCCCCTGCTGCAGGGTGAAGTCACTGTCCTGCTGTTGTGCATGCGGGACGCTGGCACAGGGCTCACACCAGGCCAATGCTGGCTCCTAGATGCACCTGTACTAGAACTTTTTCACTGTGACCTGTGTAGCTGACCTAGTGCGGGCCATGCAGTGACAACCTGCGCTCAGGCCAGCTGGGCCCTAGCAGGACTCAGGGTCACTGTGGCCTGGCAGGGCCTACCTCGTACTCCTCAGAACCCTGGGTCAGCTGCCGGAGCTGGGCATCGAGCTGTGTGAACCGCCGTGTGATCTGTTCAATACGTGCATGCAGGTCACGGTACTCGCTGTACTCAGAGTTGAAGTCGTTCTTGTAGCTCTGGCGCTGCTCTGACGAGGAAATGGCCGCATATTTCCTGAGGACAATAGGGCTTGTTGGGACTTGGTGGCCACGTGCAGGTCAGAAGCCCCCAGCTAGTGGCTGGGACAGCAGGTGGCAGCAGCCAGGCTTGAGCAGGGTCTAGGTTGATGGGTGGGTAGGGTGGGGGCAGCTCAGGACTCACAGCAGGTAGTCTGGGGTCTCTGACGTGGACGTGGGGACACTGGATGTAGGAACACTGGTACAGGCTCCGTTCAGACCTGCAAAAGCAATACGTTCTTAGTTCTGGTCCATTTGTGGGTAGCAAGCTGCACGCAGTGTCTGTGAGTGTGCGTACTCACAGTGGGGCAGCATGGAGGGCCATATGCCAAGGTCACTTGGCCACAGTGGGGGCTGCTGTCTGTGTCACAGAGATGCGCCTTCCCAGTGGCATTCTTGCAGGCTGCCTTGAATTCCAGAGAACCTGCCCAGCATTTGACAGCGGTGGGTATCTGCACTAGGCTGGTACATAGAACTTGACTACCCAAGTCTTGGCCGCCCAGGAGGGCAGAATGGCTCATGGAGCCACTATCCTCTCTAAGTGCAGACCAAATCCCAGGCCCTGATGGCTCTGGCCTTCACTGACAACCCCAGGAGACACTCCTGTCCTTCCCACCTGCACTGCAGGCGCCATATGGCACAGAGCAGGGCCTCCATGCAGCCGCCCTGGCCAAAATCTTGTGGAACTGGGAAGGAGAGAGGGTGTCCAGACAGAGCACCATTGTCCCAAGTGGGTTTTTGAGATGAGGGTCTCATTGTAGCTTGGACTATCCTGGAACTCATAATCCTCCTGACTCAGCTTCCCAGGGTGCTTGGAGGACAGTGTGCCACTGCTTCTTCCAGCAGGCCTAGCATGTGCTGTGAGCTTCAAGGCATCCACACCATTCCCCACCCACGGCACTTCCCGCCCCACAGGCCAAGAACCATCTCAAAACACGCTTCCCATGGGGCCAGATCCTAGTAATGAAGCACGTCTGAGCAGGCCTGAGGGAACCAAGACTGGGCATGAGGCTGAGATGTCTGTCAGGATAACAGACCCACACACCACATAGGGACCCTGCTCTGCAGGCTGCAGGACTCAGTGGTGGGGCACTTATTGAGTGTGACACCGTGGGTCCATCCATAGCATTGCAAAATAAAAAATGAAAAGGGGAAGGATCTACACTATCAACCTAATAGTTACAAATGGTTCCACAGGGGCTGGGACCCTTGGGGACCCTAAGGCATTTGCAGATGGGGAGCCCCACCCAATGTGGGCAGCCATCCCAAGGGTTGGGGCTGGATAGGGAAAGAGAGAGGGGAGTGGGGGATAGTGCCCATCCTCTTCCTGCTCAGCCACAGGCCCCCATCACCACAATGTCCTGCCTATGAATGAATGGCCAAGTGATCATGGGCTGGCTCTGACACCTTGCACTGAAACAGAGATCCCTCCCATAAGCCATTTGTATCCATTCACATCTTGGTCACAGAAAGGCACCTGCCTGTGTCAGGTTCTTGGGTTTGTTTCTGGTCTGGGGGGCAGTGGCTGCTCTCAAGATGGGTGTGCTCCTGGGTCCCTGAGACCCTTTCAACTGTACCTCCTCAGGGAAGGTGTCCGGTGGACAAGGCTTTCTCAAAGACGGCACTTGGCTGGTATGGCCACAGTCTGAAGGACCTCCCAGTTACAGGGTCCACAGCAGCCACAGCAGATCCCAAGGGTCTTACACGCAGCTGCCTCCTCTAGGCCACCTTTAAAATGGCTGAGGGGTCCCCATGCCTCCTCTGTGTGTCCTGTGCCTCCCTGGTGTGGAGGCTCTGGGACATACCCTATGCCCATGCCACCAACATGCAGCAGGACAGCCTCAGAGCCCCTCACTCTGTGTGTATGTTGCTGGGGAGAGGACGAGGCAGCCCCACTGTGCTGCTGACCCCCCAACTGAGATGCCCAGGCTGCCTTTCCATAGGTTGGATGGCAGAAGGGTACACACCAGGCAAGGAGCTGCCTCTGCTCAGTGAGGGCCACAGGCAGAACACGGGTGGGTAACATAGCCTTTCTGGGACAGAGTGTCAACATGCACCAAAGCTTGAGGCCCAGGAATGCCCCTGCTGGGGAGCAGACCACGGCCATACTGATATGGCAGCTGGGCTGGAGGGAGGTGGTCAGCTTGATGCCTCTGCCACCATGGACCACCCAATAGCGCCTGTCACTTCATGTTACTTAATGTAGGTAAGTGTGAGCAAGGGCCACAGCTACCAGGATGCTGGGCTCATGGGGTTGTAACCTTAGGTCTGGCATGCTGCCCCTAGGTGGCCTCATGCTTCTCTCCTAGGCTGTCTACTGCACTGGTCCATCAGCTGGACAAGGGGCTCCTCACTGCCTCTATTTCAACTCTGCCCTCTTTTCCCAGCAGCCTTTGCTTGCAAAGGCTCCACAACACTCTTCTGTGCCCTGGCCTTCCCTGGATATAGTTTTCCCTCCCCTCTCTCCCTTCTGCCTCCCTGGCCCAGGCGTACCCCACTTCCCCTAGAAAGAGCTCCTCCCCACATGTCATCCCTTCTTGCATGCCTGAGGCCCAGCCCTGACCACTGGACAGGGTCATGGTGAGCCACAAGTGGCAGCTGGCCTTCACCCTGGTGGTATCCTCAATCCTGTACACCAGAGGGTTGGACAATCAGGTGGCAGCACATGGTACCAGGCAATGTGGTCACCAGCTTGAACCCCAAAATCAGGACATTAAGCATGCATGGGAGGGGATGGGGCTCAGGACCCTGCCTGCCCTCAGTACCTACCTGGGGCATCTGGGGGTGGCACAGGGGTGGCAGGTTGATCAGGCTTTGGGGCACAGGGCCTGTCCTCGGGTGGCCTCTCCTTGCCTTTGTGTTTTCTGGACTTCTTCTTGGGCCGGCTGTGTGAGGAGCCAGACGGCCGGTCGGGCTGTGTGAAGTCTGTCAGCAGGGGCAGGCCAAGGTGTGGGGCAAGGGCCAGCTCCCGGTGCCTGCAGTCCTGACCACTGTGGCCCAGGTCATTGCTGACATCCGCCAGGGGGTCATGGGTCCGTGGGGCTTCTAGCCGTGAGGGCTCTAGCCTTGGGGGCAGGTGGCTGGAGCTCAGTGTATCTGTCATGGTGGGCCCCGGAGTGGGCAGCAGGGTCTCTTGGCCATTGGGGGCACCCAGCTTGCCATTGAGGGTAGGCTGGGCTCTCTGGGTGAAGTGTGATATTCGAGGCTTCTTGTTGGCCAGGGGGTCAACAAAGTCAGCAGACTGTGGCCGTTTCTGTGAAGTGATGGGGAGTGGGCTGAGCAGAGGAGCCCGCAGGAAGCAATGGCTGCCTGCAGGGCCTGCTCTGGCCACATGGGGGCACCTGTGTAGAAGGTGGGCTGCCTTCCCTAACTGGGCAGTGACAGGAGGAAGCAGGGTCACAGGCAGCCAGCAGTTTCCTGGTTCCCTGGTGGCAGGCACTGGAAAGTGAAGCGGGGGGGCACACAGCCACCCAGACCACCCCCAAGGAAGACAGCATGCCCACCCCCCGCCCACCACAGGTGTTTGGCTCAGGTAATGGCCAAGGGCCACACAGAACCTCACCTGAGAGGGTGAGGCAGAGCGCCCAAGCTCACAGGATGGGTTGGAAGCAGCTGGGTCCATGGTGACATTCTGCGGCTGACACAGCTTCCTGTGGAGAAGCTGAGTTAAAGGCCCTGCAGCAGTGCCCAAGGTGTTCTCCAGGGCCATGCACGCACAGGGTCAGGCTGGCTGGCCAGAGAGGGAGCAGTTCCCAGAATCAGAGCTAAGCTTTGTGCAGGGAGCTGCTAAGCACAGCCCACCGGGGCATTTGAGGAGGATCCTGCTCAGGCTTGCTGGGGTGTGGGCACAGTCAGGGTACCCCAGAGTAGAGCATTATGGGGGCAAAATCTTACTCCTTTTGTTTGGGGAGGAGGCCTTCAGAAGATCAGAGTAGAGAAGCCATGAAGCTGGGACTGGGAAATGGAGGCCAGACACCTCCCTGACAGCCCAGGACCATCTTTGTGTGTTGATATGACCTTGTATGCACTCTCACGCACTGAGGATACCATCCTCACTCCCGTTCTGACCCAGGGTTGAGCACCCCAGGGCTCATCATTCAGAGTGTGGGAAGTGACCTGGAATCAGAGTGGTGGTGGCTGGCCTGGGGTGGTCATGCTGGGGCTCATTTGGGAGCAAGTAACTCATGATAATTGGGCACATGCCTGTCAGCCCAGCATGGAGGGGAGAGGGCACGGAGAAGGAGGATCAAGAGTTCAGAAGAGGGGCTGGAGAGATGGCTCAGCAGTTAAGAACACTGACTATTCTTGCAGAAGACCTGGGTTCGAATCCCAGCACCCACATGGCAGCTAACAACTGTCCGTAACTCCAGTTCCAGGGGATCCAACGGCCTCTTCTGTCCTCGGTGGGCATTGCACGACACAGGTGAACTTACATGCAGGCAATACACACATACACAGAAAATAAAAATAAAATATTTTTTAAAAAAAGAGTTCAGAAGGATCAAGAGTTCAAAGGCCTGCATGATGTATGTAAGACCCCCCCCCAACTCCAAAAACCAACAAAAAGCTGGGCCCTTTGCCTGAAAATATGTGGCAGATGGCAAACCTGAGGGCTTGTCAGTACAGGTACCCACTGGCCTCTCTAAGCACTCACAGCCCTAGGCTCCAGCCACCCAGGGTAGGTTAAGGGGCCAGAGCTTAACCCTTGGAGCAGCCTGGAGTCAGGCCAGCTTCCTACTCTCCAGATCAGTCCCTGAACTGGAGGAATCAATAGCAAACTTGCAGCAAAAAATTACTTAAGGGATCTGGAGAGATGGCTCAGCAGTTAAGAATACTGGTTATTCTTGCAGAAGAGCCAAGTTCGAATCCCAACACCCACATGGCAGCTAACTGTAACTCCAGTTCCAGGGGAATCCAACAGCCTCTTCTGTCTTCCACGAGCATTGCATGACATGGGTGCACTTACCTACATGCAGGCAATACACGCATACACATAAAATAGAAATAATAAAATATTAAAAAGAAAACGAGAAAAATTATTTAAGGACCAATTAGCTGGGCCACAGCTCCTGATGGTCCCTTACCCAGGGGAAGCATTTCGTTAACATGCCTGCTTTCCTACGAGTCTGCCTGGCAGCACTCTGTCAGCCCCTAGAGGTTCAGCAGGAGCCATGGGGACATGGTTCCAACACCCTGGCTGGGAGGCTAGTCAGGGAGTGGGTACAGCTGTGAGCCATCACTGAAGCCTTTTGTTCAAGGGCTCTGGGGTTGTGGCTGGGGACCAGGAGGTGGGAGTGTTGGGGCTAGAGGCGCCTTACCTCATGAGCACACGCTTCAGCAGCTGCTGGTCACCCTCTGAGTAGCCGGGCCAGTCTTTCTGCACCTCCTTGTACATGCAGGCCCTCAGTGTGCATGTGCTGTCCTTGGAATTCACATCAGCCACCTGCAAGACAGCCAGTTGTCATAGCAAATGCTCAGGGACCTGTGAGACTGCACAGGGAGAAGGGCGGGGCCACCCCTCTCCAGTCCCCTTCGTGTGTTCCTTGGGTCACAATGAAGATCCAGTCTTAACAGGGGACCAAATGCTACCCATGCACCTACCAGTCCCTACCCTTGTCAGATAGCCTGACCTGGCCACCAGCCTGTCCTCTATCCTCATAAAGCAATGGCATATGCAAGGACATCAGCTGAGGCCCAGAGTGTCTCATCAGAAGGGCTTGCATGGGCTGAGACCGTGTCTATGCTGGCCTTGCCTGGTGCTAATGTGGGGTACGTGCTGCAGCAGCCACCCATGCTGTGCTAAGACCACAGCCTACACAGGGTTCCAAGTCCTGCTGCCCTTCATAAGGAATGGGTTTTATTTGTCTGGGTTTAGGAGATAAGAGTCTTGCCTTATAGCCCAGGCTGGCTTCAAAATCCTCCTACTATCTCAGTGTCTTGAGTGCTGGAGTCACAGGTGTGGTACTTTATTGGCTGAGTAATATTCCAGCTGGTAATGGCACTAGAATGGAACGGCCTCGACACAGCTAGTAGTTCCTTAGAAGGAACAGATGTCTCTGTGAACTCTTCCACACCAGAAATAGTCCATCTGACTTCCAGGAAGTGGATTAGCAGGTCAAAGGTTCTGAACAATTTTGTGGCTCCTCACAGTTTGGCAAACGTTTACGTACTGCCAACATCCCATCCCTGGGCAGGCTGACAGCTCTCCTGGCCCAGCTAGCCTGCACCTGGACACCCCTGCCAACACTAAAGGCATTTCCACAAGGGAAGTGTGGGCACCCACCTACTGCAGGTCCTTGGGAGTCTTTGGTGGCCTGCAAAGACTACAAAGGGCCAGATCTGGTGAGGTAACCTCCAAGAGAGGCCCCTTCTCAGAGCCTGTGGGGTCCTACTGTCCCCACAAGATGCATGGCAAATGCAGAGCACCAGGAAGACAGGGCCGGGCAGGGCCAGGCCAGGCCAGAAGATGTTGAGCCAGTCAGGGCCCAGCATGGGCTGGTCAATGAGGCATCTGAGAACCCCAGAGTGCCCACAGCCATCCTTCTCTGTCTCCACATGCTGCATCTATGCCTCCCTCTGAGGTTCTGAGTCTCAGGATGACTGAAATCGGAGATGCTCAGGAACCAGCATTTGCCAGGGTCTCTCCTAATTCCAGAGCTTTCTGTGAGAACCTTGATGGTCTATTACCACCAGCTGAGACACAAGGGATTGGATGCCACCTCAATGCTGAGTCTGTTGAGCTTGTTACTTGTTACCGTATGAGGGTCATTGTACTGGGGTGCACACGTGGAGGCTAGAGAACAACTCTGTGGAGGAGGCCATCTCCTTCCACTGTTAGGTGGTTTCCAAGAACTGAACTTGGGGAGCCAGGTTTGCACCATCGCGTGGTGTCTTCCTGTTAAGCCATCTCACCGTCCCGTGGCTAGTGTCTTGAGCCAGCAGGTGGTGCTCATCTTTCAAAGCCCTGGGAATGCTCATAGGTGGGGGTTGCAGGAGGGCATGGCCTAGGTCTGCCTAATGATAGCCCTGTAAACACCTGTCCCCACAGGCCTGGCGCTCCACCATGAGTAGTGCAGGGGCAACGGCCAGTCACAGAAAGAAGCTCAAAGCAGGTCTCCCAGCTGTGGGGTGGCAGAGAACTGATGCCCATGGAGACTGGCTGCCTGCTAACATATCCTCAGGCACCACCTGTCACAGACCCTGCAGGAGGACCAAGGAAATGTCAATAGCCCCAGTGTGCTCTGGCCTCGAAGGCCAGGCCCAAGGCCACTGTGAAGCCAGGAGACCTGATGAAGGGCTTTCCAAGTGGTCCTAGCACACATGTGGGGTGGGCCTGATCTGTACCCACCTGCTGCAGCAGGCCGTCCAGGGCCTCCTTGTCTGCCTGTGCCAGCCCGTCCTTCTGCAGCCGTAGCAGCAGCTCAGCCTTCCGGTAGGGCCTCAGAGCCAGGAGGTGCAGCACCCGATCTCGGAAGGGCTTCTGTGCCACACTGCTGGTCCCACTCCCACCACTCTTCCTGATGGCACTCGCCAGGTTGATGGGGGTCGCCCGCTTTCGGGAGGGCACAGCATCTATTGCCCCTGGTGCTGGCTTCCGAAACAGAACCTTCTTGCCTGCAATGAGAGCCTGGGTGTCAAGGAAGAGGACCGCCAAGGGCCATACCATGGAGGGTGCCACAGTTTGAGCCTCAAGGGTGGCAGCCACGGCCCACACCATGGCAGAGCAAGAACCAAGTAATGCTGCCATAGCCCAGAGGTGAGAGCCAAGACACAGGGCTTGAGGGCTGACACTGGCTGTCCCAGTGCCATACAAGGCCTGGGAACTAGGAACACCTACCACCATAGGACCTCTGAAGCTCTGGACGGAAGGCACAGGCTCCCTACAGCCATACTCACAGGCCCCTCAGGAAGGCGTTTGCTGATTTTCAGGTTAAGAAGAGTCAGAGCACCAGGGCCTCACCAACAACTGCTGCAGAAACCCAGGTGCCTAGCTTCCCAGTGTGGCCTCACCCAGTGCTCCTGGCAGGTCCAGTGGCAGCCACCCATCCCAGAGCCTCCATTGGAAGGCTAATCTAGAGAAGGGCTCCTCTCACTGTTGCACCTCACAATCTAACCTGAGCAGGAGGTACGAGCTCAGGAGCCTTCTGCCCTTCTCTTGGCAGCCCCAGCCTTGCAGACCAGTAGAACTGCATGGGGTGGGGAGGCACATAGGGTGTATGAACTCAGAGTTGGGGTCTGCATACCCATGTTTTTGAGACAGGGTCTCAAACCCATGGTTGTTCTGAGACAGGGTCTTGCTATGTAGCCCAGGCTGGCATGGAACTGCCCATCCTCCTGGGTGCTAAAATGACAAGCCTGCCCATCATGCCCAGCTCATGCTTACCAAAATGTCAACTGTCTCAGAAACCATTGCAGTCCACAACAGGGTATGACAAGATGAAGTCACTGACCAAGTTGTACCCACAGGACTCACAGATTCATTCATATATGCGCATAGCCAATCTCCACCTTGAGGCCAGAGCTATCAGTACTTCTGTCTCCAAACAGCACAAAGCTTTAGAACTACAGTCTGCCTGACGATGAAGTGCAAGTGCACCTCAGGCCTGG